GGGAAGAGGGGAGGGGGAGAGGGGGCTCAGCCCGGGCCAGTGCCCGCTGGAAACAAGAGATTAGGAGTAGGCGGGCGCTGAGTCACCAGCCAGGCGGTCCCCCGTCACCTGACCCTCGCCGGGAACCCCGGGCCCAGAGCGGGTGAGGGCAAGCGCGCGGTTGGAGAGCTGCGGCCCGGAGCGCCACGGGCTGAACCCGGGCAGAACCCGGGCCTCTCTGAAGTGCCAGCCTGAAGTCAGGTCCGGAAGCTGGAGGAGGGTTGGAGCGGCGGGATGGAGAGGGGCACGTACCGTGTGTCCGCAGTAGGACTTGCCTGCTGCTGCGAGCTCTCAGGCTGAGTTTTCCCCGGCGTTTCAAAAACAGCAGCAATTTGCAGGAAGAGAAACCGGAAGCCAGCTAGCGAACTCTTCTGTCAACCGCCCAGGCAGGTCGCCGGCACTTCCTGAGCCCGTCAGTTCCCTGAGCTTCTGGCCACAGCCGGCCTGCTGGTTCCTGTTTCTAACCTTCATGACAAAATAGGCTGTGAGCCCAGGGTGGTGGTTTAAAAACAATTTTAGCAGAGCAAACACTGCTAGTGCTTTTTACTGATGTATTGGAATAATAAAAAAAAGCAAATGCGCAAGCACTTTATTTTAATTTATTCCTAATAAATACTTTGGGATTTTTTTAAATTTTAACTTTTCTTGAAATAAATTTAAACTCACAGAAAAGCTGCAAGAATAATACCAAGAGAGTGTTGACCTCGGATAAGGAATATACCTGCCAAGAACTCCTCGTGGTTAATTGGATCCAAATTCATAATAAAAAATCTAGCAGCTGTTGGCAGCAGAGGCCTCTCATGCGCTCTACATTTCAGAGAACAGCCACAAACTGAACTGCCAGCCTCCTGCAGTTCCTGTTGTCTGCAGCAACCCTTATAAAGGAGTACCTGGTATGGTACTTCTACCAATGGGCTGACACCTGCCTGATCTGAACTACACAGCTATATCTTCAGTTGCATCTCTTCTAACCAGAGTGGCTCCATAAAGACCAATGAAAAAACACAAAGTTGACCAGTCAAGACAGTACTACTTGGATCAATCGCCTCACTTGCATAAAAGTGAGCCAGCCAGTGTGGGAACTTGCTTTTTAAAAAGCAGGCCTCTCTTGTGTCTCAGAGGAGCACATTTTCTGTTCCTCTTGAGACTGTTTCCCCAGTTTGCAAACTGGCTCACCTGAATGAAATCTCTCCTTTTTCCATACCCCATATTGGTAACTTTTGTTGACAATTGTTAACGTAAGAAAACATTCAAACGGATGAAGAATTTTTTTGTGAGTTTATTTGAGCCAAACTGTCGACACTGTCTGGGAAGCAGAATCTCCATGGATTGAAATAATGCTCCGGAGAATGGCCATTTTGCACCTTGTTTTATACATTACAAACAAAAGAGAAGATGTAAGTGGGTTACATGAAACCCATTGGTGAAAGAGTAGGGAGGTAGGGAAAACTCTGGGATTGGATAAAAAGTAAAATGATGGACACACTTCTTTTTCTTAGGTGTGTGCAGGGTAGTTAACAGTCAACAGTTAACTCAAAGCAATGAGGGGATTTGTGATCTCTACAAAGCAGTGCCTGTGCTTTGAGGGGTCTGAGAAAAGGAAAATTACTTTGACATTCCAACAATATGTTATTGTAGATGCAGAAAGACAATCGACGGGCTTAGTTAAGGTAAAGATTGACCTTTGTTAGGGAAAAATGCTGCCTTAGGATGTGACTACTTACCATAGACTGCTTTTAGTTAAAAGAAGTTTTAATTTCAGACCATCTTTGTGATTACTTCGGGTCTCTGAGTTTGCAAGGCTGCCACGCAGGCCTTCCCTGAGCTTGTCAGGTTTAGCATGTGGCTCCTTTTCATCCACACAATAGATTGACTACTGGCTTGACAATAAGGAGCTGGGCTGACCCACTTCCTAGTGCAACTGATGAATATTATTTTTAAATGAGCAAACAACAAACAACCATTTAAAGTTTTGGAAATAATTCTAAGAGAAAACAGCAAATGAAGAAACATCTATTCAAGAAAATCTACTAAAATTAGATAAGAAAGGGGAGCATCTGTGGTCTTTCAACTAAGACTCTTCTTCCCTTCACTCTCCCAATGTTAGGGGCAGAGATGTTGATCATATTCTGTTGACTGTGATTGTTAGCTATAGTTATAAGAAATATTAATCGTGTTCTGTTAACTGTGATAGTTCTGTTCTAATTAGAAAAAGCACTTTCTAACCTGGCTGGGAGTTGTACGCCCCGGGACATGGAAATTACCCTTGGAATGCGGTCCATTCTCCTTTTCTGAGAATTGCCCATCATCATGGAAAGATTAATAACCTTGTTCCCAAAACAATGGAATCCCAGAGACACCTGCCCTTTGCAAACCCCAGCCCACATTGCTCGTAATCTGGTCCCAGAAGTTCCCGCCCTTTTCAAGCCCTTTGCAACCCCTAGCCCACCTGGCCTACTTCCCCATGCTTGTAACTCCTACTTTCCCATGTAATCTTTGTCCTTCTGTCCCAGTTTCTCTGGAGACGTAACGCAGGTGGTCTAACTCCCAATACGTGGCTATACCACCGTGAGGGTCGAGAGACACTTTAGTTCAATGAGACCGAGCCAATAATTCAAGTTTCAAGAAGGGAGACAGAGACAAACATAAAGCAAATCACACGGGTTTATTTTCCAGTTCCCGATGGTTCTCGGCACCAGCAGGCCACCTGGAGGATCCACTGAAAGACACACACGAGGCCTGGGGGTGCGGCCCGACGGCGTCGGTCACTGCAGCCCTCTGGAAGTTCTCCTAGAGAGGTGCAGGGCAGAGCAAGGCGGGGTCAGCTTTCCCGGAGCTGGGGACGAAGTCTGTGGAGGGCAGACAAGCGTCCAAGGATGTGGCCGAAAAGCCCCTGCTTTTAACAGTTCGGCTGAAGGTGTGGTGCGTCTTCAGTGTGTCTTATCAGGGTCCTACAGAGCGCGGGCCTGCTTGGTAACCGGGGCTACAAAGTGTTAACCTTATCGTGGCACACAGGCATCACAGTTACACTCGGTCACACAAAATGGAGTTACTTATTTCAAATCTAATACACACATCAAACTTATATTCCTGACTCTAATACACACACAAATCTATTTCTATAACACCTTCCCAATATAAGCCGCTGACTTTTGGGGCGGGGAGTAGGTAGACAGCAAAGCAGATTTTCATGGATGACCATTACTGCTCTCTCATATTGCTGGCAATATTGGAATAGATGCTTATATACAATTCAGTCCTGTCTCTGCTTAATTGGTTCAAGTGGTAACAGGCAGCCCAGACCCGTCATTGTCCAGTTTCACCAACTCTGGACTGCTGCATGCAAGAACACAGGGCTTCCTCTCCTCATGGCTCCAAATAGGAGAAACAGGATGTCAGCAATTCTCACCCTGCCACTAGCCCCTGATACTGAGGCTAAGTCCTAGGTGAATGTGGTTGAGAGATGAAGGACCCTTTCTTTCATCCAGCCCCACTTATGGAACAAAGAGTGGACGAAAGAGAGGTACTGCAATAAATTATAAATTTCTAACTGAGCAGGTCACAGTGAGTAGTCACAGTCCACGCATTCTTTAGTTATCTTTGCCTTAAGCAAGCCCTGTCCATTGTTTTTGTGCATTTAGGTTAACACACCTTTGAAATGCCCCTTTCAGATCCCTCATTTTATAGGGTTACCACCTACAAGAGAGTACATAAATTTTTTTTTGAGGGAGGTATTTTTTTCTTTATTGTTGAGAGTATTACAGATGTTCCCCCTTATTTTTCCCCCTTTGCCTCCCCTTCACCTGGCTCCCGCCCCACCCCAGGCCTTCACCGCATTATTGTCGGTGTCCTGTAGTCCAGTCTGGACCTTGGTTTCTCCCACCTTTATATAATTTTCCTTACTCCCCTCCTTAATCTCAAATGCATAAAAGAAACAGCAATTTGTTGTTCTTCAAAACATTTTTTCTCACTCTGTTGAGATTTTACTTCCAGGTGTATTCTCTGTTTGACTCAAAGTAACTTTGTAAAAATTCTCCACAGGTTTGAATGTTCTTACATTGATATTTAAGCTCTATGTTGGGCTAGAGTGCTGTGAATATGGGGATCTTAATCACCATTAACCCAGCTCCTGAAGCTGCGGTTCAAGACAGAAGAGATAAACCCAGAGGATCTCAGGCTGCTTCCCCCTGCACCTAGAGTTCAGACCCTAGAGCAGGGAGGGTGACTTTGCCTGCTCCAAAGCCCTGGCTCAGTGATTGTGCCTGGGCAGAAGCAGTCCATAAAACAGATAGCTCTTACACTCTTCCCAAATGAACTGATTTCATTTGCAACAGAACATGGAGAAATTCAAGCCAAAGGTTGCTCTAAAAATCCTGGAGGTTGTGGTGATAGGTAATGGGGAGGAGATTCAAGATATGAGCTAAATTGTAAATAGGCTGGTTTGCAAGAGAAAACTAGAGATAAAGACAGCTGAGGGAAGCCTTCTTGGAATAAGGACAAATATTAAACACTGACCTCATAAATTATTGCTTCAAAGGAGCCAATATTTGATAGGATTTATTTGTAGAACAATTTATGTCAGAGCAATCAGCCAGCAAGATGTGGTCAGGAAGAAAGTAGGAAGAGAGCCCTACCTAAACTATTACAAAAATAACAACAT